AATAGAAAAGAAAAATCACCGTGTGCCAGAAACGGCCAGTCAAAAAAATACAACTGACTTCATGTTTATACATAATCCAGAGGCTGCAGTTTTAGACAAATGGTAGAAGACACAATTGCAAGTAATGAGCAAAGTCATGACTGGCTTCAACAATTCAGCAAAAGGGTTAAATTCATGAAATAAACTGTTCACTGTCAGTTGTGTGGCCAGTCCTAAGCATCCATGCACCAGCAAGGCAGCAGATCCAGCATTTTTTGTTTGCCATTTGACGTCTCCCACATTGGTTTCTACATCTGGCAAACTATTGCTATTTGTTTCCATTTCATTTGCGATAATCCAGAAGTTACTTTACTATAAGACATTAAAAAAATAAAAAGAGTGCAAAATCATTACTTTGTCAATTTACTGTGAAACCCAAAGGAAATTTTTCAAATGTATCATTTATTGAAGCAAAAATGGGGGGGGGAAGCACATTATGCTTTTGGAAATCAATTTTCAGCTCTTTTCTCAGATGGATTCATCAAAGAAATATCAAGGGATTTTGGAGGGAGTTATAGGACTTTTTGCTTTTATACTATTAAAAGTCAATTTTCTGTGTGTTTGCAATTGATTTCACATACCCTTTAGGATTTTTGATGCACAATTTTAACTCTCTGGAAGAAGCATGGCCACTTAAACAATCTAAGTAGGACTAATATGTTTCTTAGTCTTAGCTGATTTTTATTTTTCACGGAGAAGGAAATGTCAGAATTAAATGAATGTGTGCAAAAAATGTTAAAATTTTGTGACACTAAATGTTACTAGTATTTAGGGGTGCAACAGTTATAGACTGACCCAGACTAGTGGGTCTATTTAATCTGGTATCCATTCTCTGACAGCAATCAGGACCACATACATCAGAGGAAATTACAAGATACACACCTATGGGATGACAGCTCCAGAGAAAATTCTCTCTAATAATTAGAGCTTAGCTGATGGCCTAAAAGCAGGAAGACTCATATCCCCACTCCCAACCTATTCATTTACCACTCTCAACCTGCTTAAAACCCTGAATATTTTTGCTGTCCACAGAAATACATAATCCCCCTTTTGAATCCTGATAAACTTTTTTTGCTCAGCGATGTCCCCTTGACAATTATTTCCACAGACCATTGTGCAATGAGTTTAAAAGTATCAGTTTTAAAGTGGCTACCTTTCAACTTTATCATATGCCCTCTTTTTCTAGTCATGGGGCAAGAGCATCTCTTCTGCAGTTTAAAATTATCTCATAGCACATGCAGAAGTTGTCTTATACTGCTTCAAGTAACTTGGAAGAAGTCAGACATACTAACGAGAGATAACATTATTATGATTTCTGTGCATATATCTTTTTT